ATGAATAGCGTCTTCAAAGTCAATTACCACTGTGCAGAGATGATATCTACTTCTGTCTCATCTGGACTCTCCAGCTCAATTTTTGCTCTCCCCAGAACATTCTCAAGGTTCTTTATTCTTTTTTCCCCAGGCAAATTATCAAGGGACCTCTCTGTTGTGCACATGGATTAATTAGAGCAAGGAAAATCTCAGAATCACAGTCCTGCTTTATAAAAGAACTCACCTCTACCTTTTCACACCTCGGTCCATACATCTTTGTGATTGCTCGCATCCCATCTGGTTTGGACTCATCCAAAGTGAATCCTTGAGCCTTTCCGCAGAAAGCAGATGGGTGAAAGGCAGCTCCAAGCCACCACAGGGCATCAGTCTGCTCGGATCTAGTAACGCATCACAGCAGATTCCTTCTTGCAGACTATATCAAATTAAGGGAAAATACCAGTAACTATGTTAATATCATTAATATCATTAATATCATGTACATTACTGCTTATGAAAGACAAGCATTTAACTTCCCTGCGTGCCTGTTGGTTTAAAACAGGCGAGCTGACTGCAACACTGGCCTCTGCCTGACTCTTGAGTAAGCAAAGGCATGGATTAAAGCACCTTATCTGCCTGCTGTAACTGTCCACCATGGGCAGAAAAACAAAGTATTAATTACTGCTCTCCCAATGTTCACGTCCATCATACACCTTCCTGTTTAGACCAGCACTGTGCTGTTACACTCCCTATTCTCTATTGCTTAGGAGATAATAAATAAGGCCAATTATTCTTACCAGAGTCATAGTAAGCAAGCTTACTTCCTCCAGTGCAATGTAAATGCCACTTTTCATTCTTTTATGATTCTTTGGTCAGTTGTAGATTCATGGAACTGTGCTTATATCAAAGCTGGTTTTAATTTATTTCGAGATTAAAATTTTATGAGCAATTGCATCAGATGCTTTTCTAAAATTCAAATAGACTGCACTCACCACATTCCCTTCAGCCAGTAACTGTAACTCTACTTTAATAAGATATTGGATTTGTCTGCAAGATTATTATTTTTTTCTGCACAAACCCAGCCTCAAAGAAGTATTTATCTCCCAGTATTTGTTTCAGATTTAGGAAATCTGTGCATGGGAACTGACTGCCCTTCCTCCTCTGGTTTTCTGATGAGTAGAACAATATTTGCATTTCTCTCTTCTTCTGGTACTCCTTAGATACCTCCTATAGTTTCCCAGAAATAAGACAAGTGACTCCATCCTTTATCATCCTGGGACGAATATCACTTCTCTTAGCTGGGCTGTGCATTTTAAATTTCCCAAGGAGTTCCCTAATTTGCCTTATCTCTCTTTTGGGGCTTTTTTATTCATTGCTCTCTTTTTATTTGCGCTTAAAACTGAATATGGATCCACTACACAGACAGACGTGATTTATTCTATCACATATCCCAGTACAAACCTATGCACTTGCATCAGAATGCAAGCACAGTTCCATCGGCAAAGGGGATTCCCTTGAGCTGTGCCACCGGCAAGATGGAATTCTCTGAGCCAACAGGACATCTTTGTCTGAAAAGGGCTCCCCGAAATAGGTGTATCAGGAATGTCACTCCATGATAAGCCTCCTACTGCCTGACAAGAGACTGTTTAGCTACAGCATATAGTAGGATGCTAGGATGTACATACCCTGACTCACAGTAGTTCCTCGTTCCAGAGAGATTGAATATGCATCAGTGTGGAAGGATGTCCATAGACCAGCCTGTGGCCACCTCATATCCAATTCCCAGTTGTCTTGATTACAGCAACATCTGCCTCATCTTAGTGTATTCTCATCTCAGGCAGCCAAGTTGCTTCTGTCAATAATAAAAATAAGTAGCAGAGCAACCAATGTATTATTGATCAGATACTAAATATTTTATTGGTTTTCAATAATTCAACATGGTCTTAAAAAAAAATATCCCAACCCAAAGCCCCATGAACAATGGAGAAAACTCCCCAAGTCCTGAGAGGGCTTTGGGAAGAATGCTTCAAGGATAAAATCCGTGTTAAAAGTAGCCATACCTCTCTCATTTTAAAGAATGTTTTCAGGTTCGATAACATAGGAAAGGCTTTTATGCACTTAATGATTGGCCTGAGTAGGGTGGGAGGGTAAAATATCTTTCCTATCTCAATAATTTATTAGAAATAATGTTGCAGTGGGAAGTATACAAAAGGTTGCACCCTGATGGAGTAAAGCAGCGAGTATCTGTTTCAATACCATGTTTGCAAGTGACTTTACTTTTATGTGCTACCTCTTTCTTTCCTTAAAGAAACTCAGCTCCTTCTCTTACACTAGAGTTTGTGTCAGATTTACTTATTTTTACCCCAGGTGAAAAAAAAACCCCAACTCTTCTACTTTCAGTTGCAATAGACTGTGAAATCATACACCCGGTGATAGTTTGCTGAACATCAAATACTCTTGTTGCTTTTTTCTGCATTTACTGGCAGAGCTATCATGCAAGCAGTGTAGTTTTTAAAACTATAAATATCACATTTCTCCTCTCAAAAGTGACTTTGTAAAAAATGGCACTGAGGAATTTCACCATATTTTCCTCATTTATAGCTCCAGAGGGATGGTTTCCTCAGAGCCCAGTGCTGCATATTCACCCATACCTGATAATGAAGCTCCTTGGCCCTGAACCAGTAATCAGTCAAAACTTCAGCAACGACTTCATTTAAATGATGCCTGCACTAGGCAGGATTTTGTTTACTCCCTGAACTTCCACCAATACCTATGAAATGATGGAAATGCTCTTCTTCCCTTCGTCTTCCTGCAAGAATCGCTTGCATCAGCAGTGTACACACTGCAATGAAATAATAGGAAGTGGCAGATCAAGATATTTGGCCAGAGGTTTCTTTCCCAAGGTTCTTCCTCTGCTCTGCTGTTCATGCTGCAATAAATTTTGCTGTCATGAGTCCAATCTGTGCCCATTCCCAGGCTGCATGCATGGATTTAGAGCCTGTCAAACCCTGGACTGGGTGAACCCTCCAGCCTCGCCATGGGCAGTGGTCCAGGCTCCAATGTCTGCAGCACCTTCAGGGAGGCTGAAATCACTGCTGAGGGATCAAACTGAAACTGCTCAGCATCACCTGAGCCTGAGTCACATAAATAGATCTTGGGCCTGGGTTAAGGGGCAATTGTTTAATTAATTGTTTAATTAATTGGCTGCTGGCAATTGGCTCCTGTATAGAGATGATGCAGTGCTCATCTCCCATAAAAGAGGGGCTGCATCAGAGGGCTTATGAATTCATGTCACTGTGAGAAGAGGGTAGATTGACAGGCATCATTCTCTGTCCTCTTCCAGTTCTCTGGCTGTCACTCCTCTTTCCATGTTCATAGTGAATACTCACGTAGCTCCAAGAAAAACCTTAACCCTGGAGGATGCTGTGAGACATGGGTCCAGCTCAAATCAGGGCAGTTCAACTCCAACAGAGATGCAAGCAGAGAAGCTGTGACAGTGCTGACACTTCCCATGTCCCTGCCACCTCATACTCTCCTGTGTGAGCCCACATTAAATGTTCACACTGCTGGGGCTTGGCTGATCTTAGCCCTTAGTTAGAAGAAAATCAGCTTTCTTTGCCCAGCCATTCTTAGAAAAGAAGATGCCATTTGATTTTATTTTAGGTGCAGGCGTTCAGTTTATTAATAATTCTGTGAGCTAAAGCAGCATGGACTAGACCTAATTTCCATGAATGGCAAGCTCATTGGGAAAAAATGGCCTAGCTGGGGGATGAATCACCGTTTTTGTATCAAAGCGGGGAGATTCAGATGAAATGCGTTCCTGGTGCTGATTCTGTCCTCACTAAGCTGCAGTTCCTAATGGAGATCAAAGATCCCATTAGCCAGATTTGATGAAGAGACAGTCCCTCATTATAGACTTCGAACGAGCTGAACAAAACCCATTAAAAAAAACAGGGCCTGCTCTTCCTCTCAGCACAAACCTGGTTCCTCTGCTTTGCTGAAGCATCCCAAGTGAAGATTTTATAAGCTCTTTTCCAGAACTTGCCAGAGTTCTAAGTAATCCATCCTGCTCTCTGACATGGAGGAAGGAATGCAGGAATAGCTCAATAGCTTAAATAAAACAAGTGGGAAGAAAATGCTTTGATAAGGAGTCATCAAAGCATTAAGGCTGTGAATGTAATTTAAATAACAGACTTCTATGGGATGCAAGTGAGAATTCAAGTACTGGAAGAATCCGGGGTTTGGGGTTTGTTTTCCTCTGGCTTGCACACAGGGCCATCGGCTGTGCTGTTCCTGCTAATGCCCAGGAGAAAGGCACATTCAGTAAGGACTGGGAGCAAAGCATCAGTTAAGGGAAGATATTCATTAAAGGCTCCTATCCCAGGCAATCCTGCTGTCACTCACTTACAGAAGAGCTGCTACGTTACCACTGAAGCCTGCACTTGCTGGCCAAGGAGCTAAGTCATCTTTCCAGCAGCATTAGTGTAGCCTGCAGCAACTGGGAAGGCTCTGTAGTAGCCAAAGACCTCACTTCTGGTGCTTTTCCTGTCCTTTCTTGGCCATTGTATAAATATGCATTTATCCTGCCATGCCTTGAGGTCCCACAATACTGGAATCTGCTAATAGCAACATATGCCAGATACCAGGCAGCTAAAAATCAAGATTCGCATTTCTATGGCAAACATATTTCAAAACTTGTCATTTTGTGTTGCAACTTTCTTCACCTTAGAATCACAGAATCATAGAATAGTTAGGGTTGGAAAGGACCTTAAGATCAGCTAGTTCCAATCCCCCTGCAATGGGCAGGGACACTACACACTAAACCATGTCACCCAGGATTCTCTCCAACCTGGTCTTGAACGCTGACAGGGAATGGAGCACTCACAGCTTCCTTGGGCAACTCATTCCAGTGCCTCACCACCCTCACAGTAAAGAATTTCTTCCTTATATCTAACCTGAACTTCCTCTGTTTAAGTTTGAACCCATCACCCCTTCTCCCCATTAATCAATATTCCTGGAAAAAAAACCAAAACTAAAACATTTAAAAAGACTGCCTCATCTTACTGGCCAAAATCTCTGCTCTTCATCAACCAAAGTTCAGCCTCATGCACTTTTGAGTTTTAATCTGTGGGGTGTTTCAGCTCTCTGCTGCCTTTATCTCCTCTTGATGACAGGAGATGTCTTCTCCTGGAGACGAAAGTCCTTACCATTTCCCAGCTCCTGCTGTTCTGCTCCTACCTGGAGAGGATGGAACAGAGAGAAATTCAGCGCAAGACGCCTCCAATTTGCTCACCTTAGTGCAGCCCTGCGGCTGCAGCCTCAGTCAGCTTCCCACTAAGTACTTTAGTTAATTGGCAACAAATTGGAAGAGATGAGCTGATTGCAATAAATATTTTATTAATGTTAAAACACAAAAGGTTGCATCCCTCCCAGCCCCATCTGATTGGGCACAGTCACACCTATTAATATGGAACTGCCGCATCAATTGGCAACCCCGGGCTCAGAAGGAGCTCATTATGAAAAGTACTTATGCATGGATCCTCAGTAGGTGTCAATCAGCATCGTGCCATTGAGATCAATGGAGCCAGGCTTATTAAGAGAGTTAAAGCTCCAATAATTCACCTGGAAAATGAACCCTACAGTCTGTTCTCATATAGAAGTTGGGCAAAGGAAGAACAGGTCTTTCTGTAGTTTTTATTTACAAAAAAAAAAGCAGTTTAGCTGTATCTAGATCTCAACTATTCTTGGAAACAAATATTCAGTAGGGGTTTACTAAGCTGCAAACTAAAATGCAAATATTTTAACCCAATACTGTTATAGTTGTCCACAAGCCCTGTTTGCCATCTTTTGGGGGATACACTGCACATGTAAGTCCTGAGTTACTGTAGTGCTGCTGGTAGGGCCAAGCTTATTTCCATCCCCAGCCATGTTGTAACCCCACACCAACATGGTACAGGGACTATCTCTGGCCAGGGGGATGGGAACCCATGGTATACCTATCCCAGCTCCAGTTTCAAGGTTTCAGTGATCAAATCAAATGTGGTGATGACAGAAACATGGACAAAACAATGACAAGAAGTGGAGGGAGAATATATTAGTGATGAGCACAGCCCCTTCCCAGTTCAGGAAGACTCTGTGAAGTATCTCTGAGCTGATGCTTATTTTTCTGAAACATTTTTTATTCTAGGGAAAAGAAAACAATTTTTCTTCTCTTTGCTTTTTAATTTGAGGGTTTTCTGTAGAACAAAACCTCCTGTTTCTGACCAATTTGTTGTGTGGATGGGATGAATAATTTTTCAGGCTGCATTTTCATCATAAGTTGTTTACTTTGTCTACTCACTAGTCATTTGGGGGGATATTTGAGCTGTCACTGGAGTCATTTTGGCTTTCCTTCTGCTCCTGGAACAGAGGACAAACTGTTTAAACAGAAAAAACCACCAACCAATGAAAAACAGCAAGTAAAGAAATGTAAATAATTCATAAATACTGGTTTGTGCTCGGCCTGGCATCGGTGCACAGCACAGCCGCTCTCAAACAGCTACGCAAACAGAAAGCTGTTTGTGCAATGATGCTCCATCCCCTTTTCCATCACTATTTGTAAACAGCAGCTCGAAAGCAGAGCAAATAGTTGCAAGAAGTTATGCTGAAAGGGGCAAGATAAGGCATCGCAACAAATATTTTCCCATCAGAAAGACGTGTGATTAGTCCAATCTCAGTATTTTATATGATACTGAATTTGAATTTTGCTTTATGTCAAGGCTCAGGACTTGCAGTGTGGTGGTCTGCCCATCAAAGTCACACATCAGAAGGTAATATCATGAGGTTAAATTCCTCAGCTTTCTTTAAAGTTTGGGGGTTTTTAAGTTTTTCACATCTGCAGATGGGATGTGTGTTTTATCAGTGCAGTCTGGGATCCCAGGGTACCTGAGCCAAAGATGCAGTGAGGATGATGTTATTTATAAGGAGCTTGACTGAAGGTAAAAGATTGGCTTAAGGTGATGAAAGAAAATAGCAAAGCATCTCTATTTAAGAGGTAGAGGTAGTAAAATATCTGTTGAAGCATTAAGGTATTTAAAAATGCATAAAACAGCTCCTGAGGGCAGAAGGCTTTCCATGAGGACCGGAGCAGGTTGGGGCTATGGGCGCTGTGGCTCCCTGGTACATGGGGCAGGGGAGGAGCAAGCTGGACTCACAGTAGAGGGCCCCGCAGGACCTAGAGAAGTAACCAGCTTGTGCCAAGGAAGGATGAGTCAACCCCGAGACAACAATGTCTCAGGGAGATTAATGCCAGCGATGACGGTGGCATTTCCCAGGGATGCATGTCTCCATCTGACTTTCCAGAAGCATTGCATTTGTCCAAGAAATAGAGCCAGACATTTTTCTTGGCAATTCCTCCCCCTTTCCCACGGGTCTCTGGTGCCTCTGAAGCAGATATAAGTCATTGAACAGCCAACCAGAACATCACGGGCTGCTCCAGGCTCCCAGGACCCCACACCGGCTGCTCAGATACTGGCACAAAACCAGATCTTCTAATGTGGTGCCTGTGGTCCACCACAAAGCTGCTTCACAATAGCTCGTGCTAGTGGATGGCTCCAGGAGATGTGTGCAGAGCACTCAACCTTTCATTTAAAGGTGCACTTCAGTAAATAAACACCAAAGAATAAAGCATTTTATACTTTCCAGTTTCAGGTAATCCCCTAGTGACAGGTCCCCAAGTGACCACAGACTAACCGCTTACCTCCAAGAAAATACAAGCTCACTGCTGGCTCCCTTCAGACTCTTCCTTAATTTTCCTCTTCACCACCAGCAGTCAGTTGCTGTATTTTTCTTCTCCTAAGCAAAGGGCTATAATTTATACAATATACAATATAATTTATACAATATTTCTTATGAAATAACAAAGGGAAGAGAAATGGGTGGCAGGAGTGCCAGGACTTTCTCATGCTATGAGTGCATCAGACACTCTCTGCAGTGTTTTATGGTAGGGCAGAAAAAAATGCAAACAAAACAAACCAACCATGAGCAGACATCCTACTTCACCGTGCTTCCAGCAAAGGAAATTTCCAGGGTCAGAGCTGGACAAATGAGCTTTTCCAGCGATCCCTGACGTCACCTTGCAGAGAGCCGCCAAGTCCCCTCTCTCTTAAATCCCTCTTTGTGTTTCACCCAGCCTAATTAAGTTGCTTAATTCCATTTTGTGGATACATTGTGGGAGCAAAGCTCTGTTCCAACAATGTTAATGAGCTTGGGTTAGAAGTTAAAGCCCCCACTAATGTGTTTAAATGAGTTCTCACCCGGAGCTTTACAATCAGCTGGAAGACGCTTGGCTTGTGCTTTCCATGGCGGTGGGACAGGGTAGGGTCAGTCTCAGGTTAAGGTCCCTCTTCCCCACCTCAACGCTCACTCTGAGCTCCTCAGATCAATCACAGCCTGCTGAGACCACCTAAAGCAGCTGAAACATTCCAACCTACCGCTTGAGCTTTGCCTTTCCTAATAGTTTTGAATGTTGATGATTTTGGTCTTTCCTAAATGATTCTCCTTGGGACGTGTCTCCATCCCTGGGGGAAAGGGGACTTCATTGCAGCTGACCTCTCTCTCCTGCCAAGAATCCTCCTGGTGCCCAGCAGCTTCTTCACCCTCCCAGGATCAATTCTGCAGAGATAATTGATGGCTCCTTCATCCAGTCTTTCTTCTCTCAGTAAATACACTTCCTCATAGCTGGCATTAGCAGGGCCAAGTGAACTCTTTACAATCAATGGCTGAGGGTGAGGAAGTTCCTCTGAGAAAAAGATTGTGTTAGCAAACTTGGAGGCTTGCTGCTGGGGCACAGTGGGAGCACTGAAAGGAACAGCACTCAGCTTCTCTCGGGCTGTTTTCTTCCTATACTTTTTGTGCACTTTGCATAATAATACAATAGACTTGACAAAAGATTTATTCCTGGCGCCTATAAAATGACACAATACAATGAGTTTCAAATGGAGAGGAGAAAAAAAATTCAAGAGAAAAGGTAAATAAGCAAGTTCTTCTTAAAGTCGGTAAATGTTATGGACAAAAATTCAATTAGTGCAGAGGAAGCTGCAGAAGCTTCATTTTTCCTTTCTTTTTTTTAAAGCCTTTTAACATCCAGGCAACGGGGCCTATTTAAAAGATGCCAGTTGTGCCTGTGCACGAGCATGCTGGCACACACAGGCAATATAAGTCTGCCTGTGTGTAATTGTTGCTGTTCTGCTTTATATCCACACACAGCTGTTCTCTTTCATGATGGAGCACCACTTGCTTAACTAGAAATATTTTTACAGATTATGTATAATCTTAAATTGGTGGTGCTCAGCCACAGGCTATAGTGTGTGCGTATGGCTCATATAAATCAATAACTCGCACAGTGCACATTTTGCTTTGAAGTACACGTTTGGACTGAAAAAGAGTTGTTGATAGTGCTGGGCACCCAAACCATCTACGGCTTGCCTTTCTCTTTAAGGCCTTATCATATTCACACCCTGAATTGTAACAGTCCCCAGAGAGGACTTCACATGGGTGTTTATCCTTTCAAAAGTTATTTTTGAGGCTTTATTTTTCTACCTGCTGATGCATCCTCTCAGGTACAAAGTGTCATCAGCTCCCACGCAGCCCCTCATGGAAACCTAAACATAGAAGCTGTAATTGCCATAATTTAAAATGTGTGGCTGGACAAAGCAGAGTGGTAGAGCAGCCACCTCACCCAGAACCAGCAGAAGGCAGGCTGGATGTGGTCCTGAGCAAGATGATCTAGTTGAAGATGTCCTGTTCATTGCAGGGGGGGTCGATTAGATGAGCTTTGAAGGTCCCTTCCAACCCAAACTGTTCTATGATTCTATGATCCCTGTACCAGCTGCCTATGACAAGGATGCGCTGCCCCAGAGATGGATACACCTTCATCACTACATTGAACTTCTCCAGCCCCACCTCGCCTGGCTTAGTGCTTCCTACAAAGAGAACACCATTAAACAGGAATCTCACTTTATTCTTCCGTCAAGAACTCTCTCCACCTGAGAAGCGTTTTGCAGAGCTGTAAACGTGGTGCTGGCTGACAGAGGTTTCTTTGCTGATGGACCTCTCCAGGAGATGGTGCTTTCCATGACAAGAGCCATGGAAAAGGTGGCTTCTTGCCTATATGCATGTGTAGCCTCAGCACCTTCTTGAAGGACATGTTGGTAGACTGTGTGCATGGTGATTGGGGGCCATCGGGAGACGTAGCAAGGCTAATAACATGCTTGGGCATCTCCAGCTTTGCTTTCAGAAGGACTGTTTCACTAGGGACAGCCTTAAGAGCCTACAACCTCCTCGTGCTATGTCTGCAGGCAGCTAATGCAAGCCAAGAGCACCATCTACTGTTGTGCAGTGCTGGATTATCTGTTATTGACAGGTCTGGGGTCCAATAAGGGGGCTGTTCCTACAGTCAGGGTCTTGACTGTTGCACTGAACATTGTTCAATAGCTTATTAGAGTTTACTGATAAGGAAACCTCTCAGAGGAATGGATTTCTCTATTCAGCAATTACATCACGTGTGAAACTCAACATTTACAGGGAGGCACGTGGTGCAATACTACAATAAAGTTAATTCCCAGGGTACGATAACGCACATTATGGACTATGCAGCTAATTAAAAGCACTGGTTTTGGCCGAGGTGACACGCTGGAACAGCAGCAGGAGGAACACGTTATCCTGCACTATGGCAGCACCACACAGAACTTGATAAAAATAGGGTATGAATCACATGGCCCCGGGCTGGGTCTGTCCTCTCCACGCTGTGCAGAGCAACCTGCTCTCAGCCTCGCAGCAGAAGCACTTGCTTGGCAAACACTCCTACTCAAGTGTTTGCCCACAGATACCCCAATTTCCTGGAAAACTGAACCTTTGTCCAGAGCATGGGAGTAGGATGAAGGCAACAACAAGCTATGAGGACGTGGCTTCCAGCTGAGTGGGCAAGGGTTGCAGATAGTGGACATCAGGATGGCTCTTCATCTCCCTGCCCAGCCACCCACACCAAGCGGGGTCCCCTATCCCCACCAATCCCAACACTCAGGGTGCTGCACTGGGACAAACTGACAGCAAGTGGAGTTGGACTGAAACCTTGCACTGTGCAATCCCTGGTACAGAGCAAAACTTGAAGTCTTTCCCTGCAGATCTATGAGCAATGGCTTTTGATTACCCTTGACAATCGTTTCACTTCTTTCATATTTCCTTTGTGGGTCTTTAAACTCTGCAACAGCCCTGGCTGGGAGCCCCTACTGTGGCTATAGGAACAGAAGCTAATCAAAGGAATAACTTATCCTTTTCTCAGTCATTATTAAACCACATCTGTACCTGATTTTTGGGCCACCCAGCAGAACCATAAAATGGTTTGGTTTGGAAGGGACCTTAAAGCTCATCCAGTTCCACCCTCTGCATGGGCAGGGACACCTTCCACTAGAGGAGCTTGCTCCAAGCCCCTGTGTCCAACCTGCCCTTGAACACTGCCAGGGATGGGGCAGCCACAGCTTCTCTGGGCACCCTGGGCCAGCGCCTCAGCACCCTCACAGGGAAGAGCTTCTGCCTAAGAGCTCATCTCAGTCTCCCCTCTGGCAGGTTAAAGCCATTCCCCTTGGCCTGTCCCTACAGGCCCTTGTCCCAAGCCCCTCTCCAGCTTTCCTGCAGCCCCTTTAGGCACTGGAGCTGCTCTCAGGTCTCCCCTTCAGGAGCCTTCTCTTCTCCAGGCTGACCCAGCCCAGCTCTCTCAGCCCGGCTCCAGAGCAGAGCTGCTCCAGCCCTCGCAGCATCTCTGTGGCCCTTCTTTGGACTTGTTCAAGCAGGTTCATACCCCTCTTGTCTTGAGGGCCCCAGAAAATAATCTTCAGCACAGTCATAAGCATAAAGGTATTGATAAGAGTATGGTATGCATCTGGTAGAGCACTGCCAGTTTGATTCAGCAGCATTTCATACCCACTTTCATTTTGTGTAATAAACAGCCAAGGCACAGGTCAACTGGCCTCATTCTTACAGGAAGGCTTTTAAGCCCTTCCCTGCCAGATCCAGAAATGCATCATTTGCAGTCAGTTATCAAAAATAAAGGTATTTTGATGCACTGTGTCACAACCAAGGTGGAGCCTGAATCCCAAACCTGAAGAAACGCATTTACTTCATTTTCTATTGTTTTTATTTTGCACTTTGCAAATGGCCCAAGTTCCAGCAGTTCACAAAGCAGCTCTAAGAGCTGGGACCAGGCTGCCATCACAGGCATTTGCTTCCCAGGCCCATAAATCTCTCTCGATGGGGTCTCATTTTTCTTTCCATTGCTCCCACATCCCCCATGGACACAGAACAGTGGGGTGCATCATGGAGATGAACACTGCCAGGGATAGGGCTGGGCTCCCCAGCTCCATGTGATTTGTGAGTGGTACCTGCAGCGTGATGAGGCACTCCAGAAAGCAATCGATTCTCTTTTTATGTGTTCTTAGAAAACAATTACCAGCAGGAGTGATGAATGCACTTCTAATTATATCCTGGCTGTCTCACCCCCTCCTAGTCATGAACTACTTTAATAAGTAAAGGGCATTCAGGAAAAAAATGGTTTCATTCAGTGACAATTAACTCAGGGTTTCCATACCTGGTTCTGGGGAGATGTTCACAGTACCCAGGGCAGATGTTGTGGAGGGCTGAGAGTGGAGAACCAACAGCTGGACTGAGCCCCCAAGATGCCTTTGTGTTTTTGCACATCAACTCTGTCACCCCTCCATGTAGTGCTGCCATTCACAGCAGTGATTTGGGCGGTGTAGCATTTGGATGCCTGTTTTATTCCTTTCACTTGCTGAAGTAGCTCCTAGCTCAAGCAGAGGCACTCATGTACTATGATACAGGTGACCCTTTAAAGCAAACCACTTGCCCATGCTGTATTTTGACAACAGTTTTTAAATGAAGGGTGAAAAACACCTTTCAGCTATTACCTTATTGGACAAAAACTATTAACTGAGGACTGCCAGTGTTAGCGGATGAAGACTGATCAAGTACCTGATTTGGAGATGTGTCTGTGCTTCATCAAGCCCTGTAGGTCTGTTAAATGGCCCCAGAGAGGCCATGAAAGCATTCATTTCTTTAGGAGATTACCACTCCAGCTACCTGTCCCTGATGCCAATCTGAAAGCAAACATCTCTGCAAACAGCAGCAGGGATGGAACACTTCGGTCCTTCCAAACTCCTGCAAAGATTTGCATCCACCTCATTTTAATTAGCCTTTGCTGGGCCTGTCCTTAGTTTCTCTCAGTTCTTCCTCTCATTTCATCTAAATCATTTGCATTACATAAAAGCTCTGTGGTGCTCAGCTTGTTTTGCAAAGGCTGCACCATGAGACTGCCTTTCTCATGTGCAGCTATTGAATCAGCTTCCTATTGTCTCAAAGTACCTTTTCCCTCCTCCCTCCCAAAAGGCTTTGAGAGACATATAATACCCTCTTTAAAATGGCTCATCATGGATGTATCACCTGAGGATCTATTTCTAACCAAGATTCACAGTGAATAAGCATTATCCTTGATAGACTTTTTCATGCATTAGATTGGAAGCAAGCATTGATCAATGCAAGTTAAAATAACTTTCAGCTACATAAATATAGAGCTCTATTTTGTAATTATTTGCAATACTTGACTATAAGCTTGAAAATAACATCTTACCTCATCAAGTGTGACCTTCTGTATGTGCCAAACACTGAGCAGCTTTTCCATGGGTGTTTCAGACTTCTCTGCGTCTTAGGAGAGGGCATGGTTTGGGTGCTGGAGAGAAGTCACCATTTCTAACCTGGGAATGCAGAAGAAAGGGCAGCTGCAGTGAACTGACATGATGCCCCAACCTTTAAGAAACCTGGGTTTGCAAAATAAGTTAAAAATGGGTTACTATCTAGATTGCCAAATGCCAGCAAATAAATTGAGCATCTTCACATCTTCTTCTTACACCCCTGATTACAGCTCCATGGTGACTGAGGTTACAATCCCAGCTCTTTTTGACTTCACTGGGGCCGACTCAGTATAATTTTAAATCTACTCTCCCAAATCCATAGCACACTCTCTTTTATACTATAATTGAGACTTCTCTTTTCCTCTGTGGATTTATTCTTTCTTTAGCTGGCTCATGGCAATCAAACAGATCGCTTCATCTTCCCAGGAAAACTTCCACTTCATTAAAATCCTCCTCTTTTTTTCTTGTTCTTTTTGTAATTAATGTGAGTCACAGAATATTTTATATTTGGAATCATGTTATTTGTAGACAGTAGTCAAACGTGTTTGGTTAGCAGCCAGATGCTAAGCATATGCAGCAGAGGAGTGAGATGAAAGGATGTAGGTAAACAGGGAAGACACATGCTGATCGCTGACTGACCCTCCCACCCCTCTCCATGCTGCTGTACTTGCTGTAATAGATGCCAGCCTGAAAGGTAAAGGAAAGCCAAATTCAGATGGAAAGCAGAAGTAATTTGGAGGATAAATTTTTAATTAAAAAAGCAGTATGGGATAGCAAGTTTAGAAAGATTGCTCCTAAAAGCTTAAGGCTCTGTTATTCTGCCCTCTATCTTTAGCTTTTTTATTGATATGGAATGAGGAAAGAGCTTTTTCTGGATGCATTGTAGGAAAGCACAATTCATGCTCTAAACATCTTTCTCATTTCCATCCAATATTACTGCTCTGCCCCTTGAAAGGTTGCAAAAAAAAATACAAATAGAGAAGAAAAAGGCTATCTGCTTGCCAAATTATATGTTTCAAGCAGGGAGCACGCAGATCCAGAGCTGTAATAGCTTCTCATTATCTTGCAGGGGTAATTTAAATTAGTTGAGTGTGACATTTATTTCTTTGTATTGCAGCCATTCTTAAATGCCTTAATGCAGGATCAATATCACTTTGTACCAAGCACAGACCTCCACAACATGCTACTCCCCAGAAAGCATTTGTTTTTGCTAGCCAGGGCTTTTTGCTTGACCCACTTCCAGTGAAGAAGTGAAGGACGGGGCCCTCCAAGATGGTATTCCTTCCTGGCTCATGGCTGTTTGCTTGTGTGCAGCTCCTCGTGTCCAGCCGGGCATTTTGCAGTGATGCCACCAACTCACCGCAGCACACGTGGGCTTTTGCCTGGATGGACATAAACGAGAGAAAGGGAGGACATGAATGTTGCTGGGTACATCAGAACAGAGCACATGGAAAAAACAGAGCTGGAAAACTCACTGTATATAATCTAAAATAACCCCCCTACTACACACACTGCAAATTCACAATGCATATCTATACAACAGTGAATATGCTTTGAACCCTCTCTTTCCTTTATCTTGCTGTTCCAATCATCCACCCTGCTAGATGAAATCACCGAGCAGCATTTAGGTGGTGCTCTCCAGGTTTCCTCTCTGGAGCGCTGATGGCAGGTGAATGCGAATGTTGCCAAGCAGCATCTGCCTGTGGCTTCAAAAGTTCAAGCTTTTGATTTGCTTTGTGTAGCCACAAATGGATGAGTTTAGTAAAATAAACTACTTGTGTGCCATCACGTGATAGAGGCACAGCATCTCAGCAGAGACCAGGGAAAACTGTAAGTAATTGTTACAGAAGGAGGATAATCTGCAATTTAGTCCTCCTTAAGGTATGTGGAGTTGGAGACTGGAAGCTGTGATGTGAGAGAGATCAACACTGAAAAATCTTTATAGAGGAATTTCTCAGATGACAGATCCCTCTGCAAGATGTCACCGTCAGAACTCCATGAGATTTGGTGCTGCACTAATGTGGTTAGCTGATATTTTTAATCACTGACATCTGTGAGGGCAGAGATGAAGTAATGGGGGTCTACCCACTTTGAAATAAAGGGCTGGAGCTCCATCCACTCTCCACTCGCTTTCATAGGATGCAAAACTAAGTGACTATAAACACCACTATTCACCTTATTTTTCTGGGTCATTTGTTTCTGATTCATTTTATGGTGAGATGTCCCCTGTTAAATGTTTTGGTCCAAATTCATGCTAAGGGAACTCCATGATCTTCAGGAGGATCAGATCAGCAGTGAACTCAGAGCAGGTTGTAGCAGACACTCAATTCAAGGCCTTTGCTGTTAGTGACATCTTGCAAATGCACTTTGAATCTAAACAGCACATGCTCAGCCTACCTGGATGAAGGTTACACAGAGGAGTGCTGGGGGTAAAAGTGATGCAGCACCCAGCAGCTCCAGCACAGAGGTCACTTAGTGCTGCTGACACCAGCTCCAGTTTTGCACATCGGCAGATGAGTTCCTGAATGCCAGGCTGGACCTGGCTCCCAACAGCACTAGATACGCAGGCAAGCATAGAGGTAGGAACAAGGCAATTGTGGCCTCTTTAAAAAGAGACACAATAAGAAATAATGTTGTCACATTGCTCTCATGTACCTACATGTGACAACTTTAAGAATCCAGAATCTTTACTAATTTAAAGACTAGTTTATCTACCCTGATCTCCTCTTCCAGTGCTATTTCCAGTTACACTGATGGCAATTCCTCTACAATTACACATCTGTCTGTCTGCAAGAATGGAGCTGGCTCTTCTGAAACTTTGGAGTAGATAAATCAAATGAGGGAGGCAAAAGCAGTACTTGAGTGTGATCTGACTTTAACAGATAAAATCAGAGCAGCTCCAGCCAAGCTAGGAGCAATAAGCTGAAATCAGAGCAGCAAGTCCAGAAATTGTCTCTAGAGGACATTTCACAGTGCCCTGATGCTACACCCCAGCATTAGCCTCAAAAGCCCTGCAGTAACATCCCTTCTGGTATAGGCAGAGGTATTAGAGATCCAAGCCAGTGTGGTTAGCTAACACTGTCTGGTGCTAATATTCACCCTCATTCAGCAGCCTCGGAGGACAGCTGATACAGCACATGATTAAGCACAACAAGCTGAACCTCAGAGATGAACAAGCCTGTTGATAAAGGACAAACAAGCATTATATTTTTATGATACCAGAAATTAGCATATCAAAATCTTGTTCTTTCTTCCCATAGCCCACATTTCTGGGGAGGGAGTACGGAGTTGCAGAACAGAAGACTTTTTTGCATTGGAACATATGTTTGTGTCACTGCTCGGCCCGTTGAAGTTCCTCATTAGAAAACATCATTTGAATTCCTAAGTAGCTGCAGAAGATCAGTGGTTAACAGGGATGTGTGGCAGTGCTTTAAGCTTGAGGATGCCAACTTCATACAAGGTCTCTCCCTTAAAATTGCAAGGTATAGACAACAGAGGCCACTCACTGTCAAGATGAAAAACTGTATTAGCAATTCCTCCTCAACATTACTGCTAAACCACCTGAGGCATGTTTCACTGTGGCTATTTCAGGAGGAGCAATCTCTGCTGTTTGAGTCCTGTGGCATAAAGCAAAGGCTGCTGGAAATGAACCAAACCTGCCAGCAAACACTTTTGTCACTATCACCTTTGCTTTCAGCTCCCATGCGGCATTAATTATTTGCCCACAAAAATAACGTCTGTGGAAGCAAGGGAGCTCTGATGGAGCTCTTTTTCCTAAGAATCCAGATGGATTCACAGCTCAAGGTAAGCTGTAAAGGACAGGAAGAAAAACTCTTGCTTTTGTGACTTCTTCCTGCAAGAGCCTGAAAGAGAGGATGCGTAGGTGGGGGGAAGTTACTGGGCCCATCAACTAAGATGCCCAAACTACTTCTATCAGATGTATTTTTTACCCTCTCACCTACTCAACACACATAACTATGAAACGGGGCTGATAAAAGCTCGTGTCTCACCAGCCCATCTTGACAACAGGAAACCTTGACATCTTCCAAGTAATTCAAAACTCTCCTTCTTAGAGTCAAGATTGAGGGGGGAGGGGGTAATTTATTTTTAGGCTACCCATTTAGAAGAAAACAACTGTGAATAGGAAGCTACCCATTGCCAAGGTTAAGCTTCGGAAAACTTCTCTCTAGCTGTAGCCTAACGATTTTTTTAATAAGAGCCAGACACTTCAAAGCTCAAGATAGAGTCCTTGTTTGAGCTAAAGCCCAGCAGCTATCTACAAAACAGAATTAATTCCATCCGCTTTCAGAGGGAACAGGTACCCCATCCCAGTAGCGTATTATGAAATGTTCAGTGTATGCTCAGTTGCTCCCTACTTAAAGGTAGCTTGTGATATTTTATTCCTATTTAGAGGAATCTCTAAAGACAGACATTAAGAAAGAAACCACGCACAAAGTCTGAGTGTGTCTTTGGGTACAGCAGCACCTGAAGTACAAGCTGCCTAAAGAACAAGACGCAAGTTTTGTGGGGAGGTCTGATACACCTTCCGTTAGCCAAACACACACTGATATAAGCAAACCAGGAAAGCAGAGACACAAAAATTACAAACAAAAAGTGCCATGCACCAAACCATGTACATCCCTATTTATAAACCCAAATGGACACACAGACATTGTTGTTTTAATCCAACATGGTCTTTTCTCTTACTTTGGCAGAGAATCTGATAAGCTTATTTACCACTGGATGCTTTAGCTCTGCTGCTTGCTCCTGGCAGAGCTGGGGTATCTGGGACTTGCACTTTAAAGCATTAATATTGCTCTCTGATATGCTGATGGGGTTGCAAAAAAGTATTCTGGTGAAGGCTGACTGCTATCTGCTCAGAATTTAAACATGGGAATCAAATGCACAGTGGGATGCACCAGCCATAAGAACTGGAGACAAATCTGCAAGGTCTTCCTTCGACATGCTGGGAACATTTTTCCACTCAGCCTTGAAAGAGTCAGGGTTGTTCCAAGTCATCCAAGTGAAGCTAAATTGTTGATCAGCATCCAGAGCAGACCTGCCTGGTCGAGGTTACAAAAGAAAAATGGCTTTATTAGGGTCTGTCAAAGCATAAACCCACGCTGAAGACACTGCTTTACCGTCTGTGATAAAGAGCCTCTGTGTAATGATAGGTTGAACCCCAAGAGAAAGAAAATAGGCAGCAGAGCCTGTCTGGGTGCATTGGATGTGTCCTCATCAGAGAGCTACCGTGGAGGACATGGTAGCTTCAGCTCTCCAAGCAGCAGCTCAGCTGGGGTTTAACCTTCCGGGGCCTCCTACAGCATGAATTCTCCTGTTATACATGAGCCCCATGTCTTACCTGACTTGCACACAGCATCTCCAGGCTACTTCAGCGTATGGGAGAGGTGCACCCACTGAGCCGTCCTCACCCAGGTGATGTGGGTACCGCTCCAGGGATTCAGCTGCAGTGTCCTCAGCAGCATGGCCAGCACCAAGTCAGACTCCTGAGAATACACGAGTGTGTCAGCCAGGGGACTCTTCACTTCAGAGGGGAAATGTAGGCAAAAAACCCTGGGAATACCACTGCCCTGCAGAGAGCAAGCTGAGCTTCCAGGACTGCTGCTTTCTCCCTCCAGAAATTCCTCGCCTGAGTTGCTTTTCTACAATCAAGTGAAGCATTTCAGGGTATGGGCAAGTACTGTCATAGAAACACACCAACTTCTGCTATTTTGATTCACCAAGACAGAAAATTAAAAGAACACAAACTTGGAGTTGATAAAGATGCAAATGTAATTATCACAGCCTTGTCTTGCTTCTTCTGGCCAAGGCAGGGTGAGAGCTGCAATGGCAACCTTGGGCTTGTTTATCTATTGGGGTGTTTGGATGGTGTCCAAACAGAGGACATCAGATCTGTAGTCTTGTCAGAGTAGAAATATAGTTCAAACCATCCTTAATCCAATTCTGCAAAACTGAGAGGGAGGAAAGTTGTAAGTGGCTGGTGTGTCCAACAAACAAACTGCATGATGTGTGTCTATCAAACCAAATCCAGTCTCAAACTCCAGTCACTGAAAGGTAACCATGTGTCATCCTGTGCTACTGGTGCTTCAGCAGGGATAACTCTCTAATTTTGACAGGGAGAAATCATTCACCCTGGTACTTCAGGACCCAAAATGGTGTCAAGGATGGTGTCATACTCAAAGGACATTGGGATGGACAGACACAGCCGCCTGCTACCATCGTCTTGTCTCCAAAACAGATACAAGACAGCTATAGACCAGATGATCCTAACAGCCACATTAGCATGGCATGGAGCACAACAGAATAGCCAAGCTTCTCTGTTTATTCTCACATTGTATATACATGTTTGTAGTCTTTAAATCACAGGTCCCTCCCATACTAAATGATCCCAAACAGATACAACAATAAACTGCAATATGAGACAGAGACTGTGAGACAGAGCTGAAAATAGTACTGGTGAATCACAAACACTGAAACAAAATAAATGAATCAGTCCTAAAGAGTCTAATTAATAAAGGTTAATTTATTTATCGTCCTGGCTAACCTGATCTCTCCAAACTCATCTGACAATGCAAAATGAACAAAGCACAGGAAAGGCAGCATTAATTGCAAAGCTTCAGTAGATATATTTTCCAGAAGCTTCTTTTTCTGCTACATAAAAGGCATCCTGGATTCATTAATATATCAGTGTGGTCAAGGTGCACAGACATGCTCACTCACATCCTGACTGGCAGCAGCATAATTAAAAGGATGTTAACAGATTAACTCTGAGTTAGAGACAGATCTTTCTTCCCTTTATCACGAATGGCACCAGAGATGGTCAGCAAGACCAGCCCTACCCACACCTAAAGAGATGCTACATCTTACCCAGTGCAGTCTGGAGCGAGGAAGGCTTCACCACGCACAGCAAATCAAGCCTGGGACACTTACAGACTGAGGAATAACTGTTTACAGAGCCTAACTACAAAGTCAATCCACTGTAACATGCTACTACATTTTTACATCTGTACCTGCTCCCCAGTGGAGCATAACATTCAGCATCTGGACTAGTGAAAACATCACTGCACTTGCTGGCTCACAGTAATTGTAAATGCAGCTCCCTACAGAACTGAGCCCTCCCAAGAGAACACAATCCCCCAGTCCTGATGCCTTCTAAAACAAAGTCTTCCTTAAGACTGAAAACTTAAAGAAGTTTCATGGTTCACCAGGACAAAGCTAATGTGAGCACTGCACTCCAGGCTGGCACCAGGCGTGCCAGGGGCATCCGCAGATGCTTCCACCCGTCCTAAGCTCTCCTACATGAAGTTTATGCAACAAAGATCATTGTCTGATACTTGAATAGCACAAAGAAAATCTAAGATTTGTGCTTTCTGTAGCACCATTCAAACACTTCAATATGTGATGGGCAAACCCAAGCTTCCCATAAAGCCATTACCCCTTTTTAATTCAGGAGCTTCACAGGTTCTCCCCTTGCATTTTGGCTCTGCGGTATATGCAAGTTGTAAGACTGATTTCTAATACACTTAAACAGGAAAATAGTTGCCTATACCTGCAAACACTGTTTCGTGTTGCTGATTTCCGAATTTGTTGAGGATCTCCTGAAATCAACCTTTGGATACTCCTTCAAATCCCACATACTCAGTGGCTTCTCCAGGAGGTACTTTTGCCTTCTGCCAGGAAGGAAAGAGGTGGCCTTCACCGAAAAGCTTCAATTAAAACCTACAAAACATGGCTTGAAATAGGGAGTGAAAGAAATCTAATGGGGGTAAAAAAGTAGAATCTGAGTTTTACAGCAGAGTTGTGGTCATAAAGCTACTAACTCCCCTTTCTTTTTAAGAGTCCTGGATTACCGAGTCCTCTACACTGTAGGTGGCTGCATTTCATTTCTAAAGACCTAAGTGCCTGTCATTTCAGAGTAACTACCTGTAGGAAATGGTAGGAGGGCATGTCAGAATGTTCAGTTTCAGATGGGCATGTGCATTTTCCACTAGTTCTTTCCTTGACAATTGTGCAGATGTTAAGGAATTCTTCCCTCTTTCACACACAAAAAGAGAAATTTAAGACCGTATTTTTCTGGTTTTAAAGAGGTAAGTGCAGGTTTTGGAAATGAAGACAGCTTCCCACTCTGTCTGAGAGACCTGGGAACTCTGATGTGTCACCGGAGAGAACAGCAGAGCAGTTCTGGGAGGATTCAAAGGTCACAGATTAACTGAGCTGTAACTGACTTTCAAATATTGATCCATTATTATTAGTGTTTGTTTAAAAATCAAATGGTATTTGATTTAAACTTATTGTGCTGCTTTCAGAGGCTGGAAAACACCCCATTTGACTCCACTAAATCGGGTCATTCCACCAAAACACAAAGCTTTCAAGAAGTTTTTCTTCCAGCAATGCTCTCTGCTTCCCCTCACTCCAGACTTAACTTTTCCATACCCCTTTGCCTGTGGAGACTTTGCTTAGCTCCAGAGCAGCTCCTACTTGACTTTGACTTCATTATTATGAGTACTACCCATTAGAAGACAACCCTGTTTCCAAGTTCTGGGTATGGCCAGCAAGATTCTTCAGAAGTAACTGCACAGTGAAAACAGTGAAAATCTTCTAACATGGTTACTTGAGGTAAAACAGCTCCTTTTGTGCTTTGTGTTACATTGACCCATGAGAAGCAACCACAGGCTGCGGCAGGAGCCACCAGAAGGTCCCAGGCTTCCATCAGAAGGTTAAAAACTTTCACATTTCATTTCTGCTGGTCCAGATGACTATTGCTGACTTCTTGAAAAGACACACCACAGCCTGAGTGCCCAGGTGGGTCATTGAGAAGCAATTTCCAGTTCCTTATTTCTTGACTATTGTAGGGAAAAGAGCTCCAGATATTTCATTTGATGAACATCATTTAATCATGTTTTTCAACTACCAGGAAATAAGAAAACAGACAGCTTAAGAATTGTGTATAACTCCATTATTACCAGACTTTGTTGGAATAGAATTGTGATTAATAGTCCCAATTCTCATTTCAGCCCGAGGTTGACAAAAATCAATGTCATCTTAACCTTAATCTTATAAGAAATCCTTTCAGTTTGCTGGACCTATTGAGGTTTGAATCTTTAGAAGGTTAAGTTTTCATAACAAAAATATGGATATAAACTTCAGTTCCCTTTTTCAAAGCAGTGGTTTTCATACAAGCATATGGCTCCACCTGGGACTTCAAAAATGGTCAAGTGCTGCAGAAAAGCTATGAGCCACAGTGATTGACTGGGAAGTGTATGAAGCTCCCGGGACACTACTTAAATACAGTCTGGTACTAAGCATGATGAGTACTAACAAGTATTAGTCCCTAGTGCAGGGGCTGGTTTTGTTTGATTCTGCACAGTAGCTAGCTGGACCTGAGGCACAACAGTAGTATAACAGAAACCATTTGGGTACTGACCATAAGGGACCAAACCCAGAGCTGGAGTAAGAAGAGTTGATCTGCTGCAGAGGACGGAACTGTGCTGTTTTATGCTGAGAAAATGGCCCAAGAGCTGATCCTGTCTGTGGGAACCCGATGGTGTTCAGATTTCTTTTCCCCCACTGAAAGTTCCTCAGACCAGTAAGGGAAAAGGGAGAGAGGAGAGATGTATGCAGCAGGCTGGGGGGTAGTGATGTGGAGGGAGGAAAACAGAGCACTATTTTCCTAGCTTTGAGAAGTATAAAGTAGAATGAAACAGCATTAGAGACTAACCAAAGTGCTTGATACTCTTGGATATGAATATATATTCCTGTCTTTGGATAGAAGCTTTGCTGTCTTCTGCTCCACTGAAGCCAACATGGGACCTGGCTGGTTTACTCCAGCTGTGGGTCAAGTCTAAGTCTCCTACACATCCACCCTGTGCCCCTCCTCATGCTACTGCTAACGAACATATAAACCCAAGCATGTTACTCCACGCTCTCTCTACCCACACTTCCCACATGGAAAGAGTAAACTACTACTCTACTCTGATCCTTTTCCTTTAGAAAGAGTCCTACTAAGTTGAAATGCTGAAGAGCAACAGCTCCACAAAGTGCAACGAGGAGGCCAAGAAGCTCTTTAAGACCTTC